GTGTGTGTTGTGATTGGTTAGCTGGGCCAGTGTGTGTTGTGATTGGCAGCACTCGGCGCCTGGTCGGGAAATGTCATGCCCCTTAGCATAGCCGCCTGCAAACTTCAGTGTAAATATTGCGTCAAAATCAAATCAATTTGAGCGCGATTTAAACCCGGATGATTGTAATCGCTATAAGTTTGTCTGTCTTGGGAAAGCTAGCGTGTCTCCGACATAGTGATAACACTCGTTGCCTTCTCTAGTGCAGCTCAACCAGGTCTCATCCCATGCGTCGATATTTGTGATATCACAGATCCCGGAAAATATGCGTTGTAATCCAAACGAGTCGTTCATTGTAGTTTTTGAAAAGTGATTTCTGTTAAATAAAATATCTCCTTTTGAATTTGACTTTGAACTTTGTAACTTTGCAGATCTTTTTTATGCTCAAACAGCAACATTACAGACTAACTAAAGTTGAAAAAGTGAAAAAGTATAATAGCACCCCTTTAATATTTCTGCCGAAACCATAATACATTGTTATTCAGGATTCTTTGAAAATAACATTTATTTGAAATAGAAATTTTTGTAACATTATAAATTTCTCTACTGTCATGTTTGATCAGTTTAATGAGTCCTTACTGTATTACTGTAGTTTTGTTTTTTTGTTTTTTCCAAAATAAAAAAAAAACCTCATTGACCCCATACTTTGGAAGGGTAATGTATATAGTGCTTCATACTAAGGCAAAGATCTTTATAATGATGACTCTATTTCTCACTCTTTTGCATTTGTCGTCTGTTTTTAAGGATGTGTGAGGTTCTGTCTGGACCATTTGCCTCTGAACTGTCTCTGCGCCTGCTACAGTGCCTGCGCTTGTCCGACACTACATGCTTCTACGGCCTGCCCTCTCTAGAGCGCACGCTCAGGACCATGGCCCATGTGACCGCCCTGCCCGGCTGGAGTAAACACACACCCAGCATGGAGCCAAACACACTCTGCCTCAAGTACCTCAGTGGCCTCTTGGAAGTATGCATATACACATGTGCTCAAGAGCCTCGGTTACACATTAGAATGTATTTTGCACAGATTATATACACTTCCTGTTGCTCTCATTCAGACAGAACACGTTAAACGCACACTTACACTCAGGGTCCAAGATGTTCCCAAACACTTAAGCATGAATCACTTACCAACCAACCCGTGTCTAAGCTGCATCTAATTTCCTTTGCATCAATATATTGCCCTATAGCCCAATTAAAATTCATCTTAACTACATTATTAGTGGATCTGTATTATATTATATTATATTAGTTAATTGTCTTTCTTAAATATACTTTGACTACGAGGTGGTTTGGTTCACAAAAGTCTCAAATGAAAATATATAAATGTAACACAAACAACACCTGTTCGTCTCTCAGACGCATTATGAAATTTGTCTTTCTCCAGACTGCTAATTATGATCGTGTTCCTGTTTGACTGCTCTTCCCAGGTCATCTCTTCATTCTACGTAGATTTGGGAGGAAACTCGATGTCCTTCATGGGCAAAGGAGTGACAAAAAATGCAGTTATCTGCCTGCTTCATCTGTCAAATGAGATGATGAGGGAAAGTAAAAATGAGGTCAGAAATGCCAATGCAATTGACATTGATATCACTAGGCTTTGAATCGGACACTAAGGGGTGCTAAACCTTTTTTAGTGAACATGGTATTGGCAGATTATATCGGTTTATCCCAAGAAATCTGTTTAATATTAAATTTAATGGTTATACTGCTAAATAAGTATGTTACATCAGAACAGCAGTTTTACGCTTCATATTTAGAGTGTTTGTGTGTTGTTTAAGGACTGGATATCATTGTGGTCTCTGGGCCGTGAGCAAAGTTCTGATGAGCAGAGTGCCGCCCAGCTTGGCTTGGCCTGGTTAATTCCCTTGTGGGTGGACCGAGACCCTGAGGTGAGCCCTTCATGTAAAATGTACATTATGGCCATACAGTAGGTACTTAATATGTAGTACTGTTTTGAATTGTTGACATGAATTACTTTTTGGAAGCTTACTTGTCCTGTAGTGTGACAAGCTAAAGTTAATCTAGAACTGTTTTAAACCGTATTTGCTAATTATTTTAGAATTATTATGAATGCAGATTTCCACTTAATTAAAAGACTACATGGAGTATTTTTTACACCATAGGACCAATAAAAATTAAATCTTGACAGTGAAAGTTGATTACTGTAAATATTGTGAATTTTTGTTCACATCTAATATTTTAATTTTTTTTCTATTTCAGTTATCGAAAACAATTTTTTTAGTTTTAGATTTAGTTAACAACTAGAGCCCGAACTATATGGGTTTTTTTGGGGCCGATACCGATATTAGGGAGTAAAAAAGACCGATACCGATATATTGGCCGATATTCTTTATGTGTAGGCTATATTATAGTACAGTATAGTCAAAAGTTTGGACACACTTCCCATTTGTGTGTCCAAACTTTTGACTGGTACTGTGTATAGAATACAGTATATAGCCCACATAAACAGAATATATATACATAAACACATTTTTTGCAATTCTGCTACGTTACTGACTGTACTGACAAACTATGCTGACACCGTGTCTGCGCAGGACGCGACAAAGCGACCGTTAAAAATCATTTGAACTTTGTGTCAGCACGTCAT